CTTTGAACTCCAAGTTGTTCTTAAAACAGATTGTAAACTCTTTAAAGGAAGAGAGATTTAACATCTGGAACGCTTCTAAGGTGCCAGCCTCTCTCCTTTTGTAGACTGTGGTTCTCACATAGCGATAGGCACACAGCAATGCTTATTAAATATCTACTGTTTAGCATAGGTGGAAACTGGAGAGTAGAAGTTGTCCTTGAAGGAAAGGAGGCAAGTAGGGGAGTTTCTAATGTAAGAATTAGTAACACACACTCTTAACCTTCCCCGCCCCATGTGGCTTCACTGTCCCGGAATGAGTAGATGGGTAAAATAGTTACTCCAGAATGGAGAGGAGCTGGCTCAGTCATTGAGGGCGGGTGGGGAAGTGTGTGGCTGAGCAACTAGAGAAAGGACCACTGATATCCTAGCCTTGCGGTCATGTGCTCCTCAATTAGCGACATTGCTCAGGAGCGGAGAAGACAGAGACCGAAGTCGATGACTTGAAAACACAGTTGGGTTTACTAGTGTGGCAGGTGGTCTGCGCGCTAGGAGGGCAGCACGGGTTCCTCGACGCCCCCTCTCACTGCATTTGTATCTGGCTCCATCCAGCTGAGCGCCCAGCTACTCAGTGTCCCATGGTCACTGCTTCCCTCCTACTGTCCTTGCCCCTCCCAAAGGCAGACGCGGTGACTTACACTCCGTTTAGTACATGTGATGCTCAGCACATCCCTGTCGACTCATAAGATGCCATTCTTTGCTCTTGGTCTGAACACTGAAGGGCTCGCCATTCACCGTGACCGTGAGGAAAAGGCACCGCTCACACCCAGGCGTCTTTCACTGCTGCACGTTCTGCTCCAGCGGAGGCCAGAAGACTGCTCGCTGCGCGTGCGGAGGCACCATGCCAGGTGAGGAGAACCAGTCGCTCTTGAAAGTCCTCCCTCACCCTCTGTGCGTCTCCCAGCAGTGGGAATCAGCCACCACACCGCCACCAGGTCCGGGATGTTGACTCAGGCTTTCCCTTTAGGAATGTGGTCTGTGCATTTAAACGTATCAAGCATCTTTGTTCCGAAAATTGAAGTAGCAAACTTAAAAAGTCTGAGTTCTTTTAGTTTTGATACAGTTAACCAAACCTAGGAGCCCTGTGCTCCTCCTTGGGACACTAGATTTCAATCTGTACCCTTTCCAGCAGCCAGAGTGGTGGGGAAGACGTAAACCCATCCTGTTCCTTTTAAAACCTTAGACATGCTATTATAAAAATGATGATGATGATGATGATGATGATGCTATAAGTAATAAACAGGAGCTTTATTGTGAAAAAAAGTGATAAAATAAAACCTTAGAGAAATTCCAAATGAAGCAGGGTGAATAAACCAACTAAATCAGGTCTGGTTTTGGGGGGGGTTGGCAGGGAAGGAGGGTGAGCAGGAGGGTCAGCTCAAGCAAGAAATCTGTTTTTTCTTTAAGTATTCTGTAGTGCTCTTACTCTAATGGTGGGCCTTAAGATAGGCTTTTGCAAACTTTCATATAAACACTTCAGGATCTACTTTCTTTATTTCCACCACTCTGCCCTTCCCTTTTGCTCAATTATGTTATAGTTAAAATCCAAACCAGTCGGTCTCCTTGAGTTAGCAGACTGTTAAAATAACACTGCTCTTAGAACTGAGCTAACCTCAGTTGATTTGCTGTCATCAGTTTTGAGAATCCTCCTGACTACAGAGGCATCTGAAATCTCTTTCCTCTTGCCACGTTTCCATTTAGATGTTTTCACGTCCCCTGAATCTGAATGTTGCCATGAGTTTAATTTCCATGGGAACCGCTGGACTTCCCTCTAATGGTGGTTTTCTCTTTGTACCACGCAGGTGGGTACCTAGGCTGTGGCCACGGACACAAAGGCCATCCAGGTCGTCCCCACTGGTCTTGCTGTGGGAAGTTTACGGAGAAGTCTGAATGCACGTGGGCAGGTGGGCAGAGCGCACCGAGGAGTCTACTGAGGACGGTGGCGCTCTGACGGCTTCCTGGGTACGTGGTCACAGCTGCCGCCGGCGTGACTTCAGATCATCAGAGGACCCCGACCTTAATTCTGCAGAAACCGATAGAATTAAATTAAAGCGCCTTATGTTATACCCTCGAGTTCAAGTACTTTTTGTGAGTTACTCAGGATCGTATGTGCAGATGGTTGAGCACCAGAGAACGCACTACGCTCCTCTTCCGGACGGGGTGGCAATGTCCTTTCTCTACCAGGGAGGCTCCCTTGGCTTTGAACAGGCATGGCGGTTCCTGTGCTGTTGATCACGGGGGTCATTTAGTTCCTTACTTTTTAGTATATAACTCTTTAATTTCTCCCTGAGCTGCATGGTATTTATTTCCCTCAGAGAGTAAAAACCTCCTTGGATCGTATCCACTTTTTGCTAGCACACTTTAAATGGATTATAATGTGATATTGCTGTTAGGGTGGAGGTCCTCCACGTCCCCTCTATGCCACATTCATCACCTACTCCCAGAGCCTGGAAGATTTACTCTGTGGTCAAGGGCACACACACAGTCAGTTAAGTAAAGGGGAATGCTGTTGACACAGAACCTCATACATTTCTTGCAGATGGTACTCATGCCAAGTGATCCAGATATCATGGTCTTCCTCAGTCTCTCAACGCTCTGCCTGTTAGAGAATCGTCTTCACTTTTGTCTGTAGACCTAGGAAATTAACTAGGAGCTTTGATTCCTGTGATGTGCCTGCTTAGCTGATGAGAATTCTTGGGAGAGGGAGTATACAGCCCTGATGCCCCAGCCCTGCCAAGGTCGTCACTGCATGCAGTTTGTGTGTTCTTCTGGGCCTCTTGACTTTTTATATAGCAAAAACGCAGCATGTATTAAATAAAATTCTTGGACTCTGCATTGTAAGATCCATTAAGAAGTGATTCAGTTGAGTGGTGAGCTGGCTTAGGCAAAGGAAGTGAAATAATTAGACGAAACACGTTGTCAGGTCAACATGGAGTACATTTCCTCCTTAAGTCTGACAGCTGTGAGATACATCAGAGCTGTAAATACTAAGATAGTCACTGCATTCTCACCTTTTCTGGAAAGAGTTCCTCCAGCCCTCCCTCTGACCAAAATCTGATCTTCCCGGAAGACAATGATGGCCCCAAAACCCTCTCAAATTATTAGCGATTTGCTCTTCCTCACTCCTTATAACCACGGGGGCCTGAGGTCGGGTGGGTGTCCTTCAGCTAAACACTGCTGCTTTACGATCAGTGGTTCTCAACCAGGAGTGAATATGCCCCCCAAGGGCATTTAGTAAAGTCTCAGAAACAGTTTTCCTTGCCACAGCTGGCGGCAGGGTGCTACTAGCATCTCCTGGGTGGAAGTCAGGAATGTTGTTTTGCTCAGTTCAGGACAGCTTCCCACAACAAGAATGATCCAGCCCAAAGTGTTAACAGTGCCACTGTGGAGAAATCCTGTTCTAGACCATTATTCCTCTTTCTTTAAAAATGGCCAGCCAGCCTGAAAGTTCATGCCTTTAGACAACCTGCTACCCCTACATGATTCAGCCATCTAGAGCCTGTATCATTCCGCCTAATTCTTGAAGACTTCAGCACCAAACTTGCTGCCACTCCAGCACCACTCCTCATCGATCCTAGAATAATTCAACATCCACACTGACTTCTTCATTCCATGACCGATTCTCTAATGTTCTTTTTCCCTAACTTAGCTGTACAGTCAGACATACCCTAGACCTTGATTCCAGCTGATTCCTCTGCATAATCCAATTTCAAGCATCCTACAACCACAAATTCGCATCTTCCCGGCTCACCCACTATACTAACCTGACTCTACGAATCCTTCCTCCCCCCTAGAATTGCCAACATGGTGATTCTACCACCTGCCCCTATTCCCTTCCCCTCCTCACGTCCTTTCCTTCATCCTACTCGGCTTACACCCTACAGACCATCGTCACACCCTTACGTGTAGTCTCCCTGTCCTTTTTGCCTGGCAAAACCCTAGGTTACATCCAAGTCTCCATCTAACCCAACTGAATGATCCCAGAGAAAATCACGAATGTATGATGACTAGTCTCACTTTAAATCTCTGACCAATTTCGGTGGGCTGTTAGCAATGCCTAACAGTCTGACAACATCTCTAGTCCATTTACTATTCCACTCTCCTAAACAATTATTTCACACTTTCTTCTACTCAAACTCCAACCTGTACCCCACTTCCTCTTTCCACTTCTGATCTTGCTTCCTAATTCACTGAGAACAAAAGAATTCAGAAGAGAATCTCCCAACCCTCCCACCACATCCTCAAATCCACCTACTTTCTTATCAAAAGGCAACTTCTATTCGCGATCTCATTCCACCTCTACAACCCAGGAAACTTGCTCCAGGAATTCGCCCTCTAATAGATTGCTCATTTCAGAAAATACAGTATTGCGCATCTTAAAAAATGAATTCCCCTCGACTTTGATATTCGTCTGCTAGGGCTGCCATGTATAATACCACAGACTGGGCAGCTGAAACACCAGAAGCCTATCTTCTCACAGCTCTGGGAGCTGGAGTCCAGGATCGAGGCATCAGCAGGGTGAGGCTCTCCTGAGGTCTCGCTCCTGGGCTTACAGATGGCCATCTCACAAGGTCTTTTCTCTATATATGCAAACCTGGCATCTCTCCCTCTTCATTTTTTTTTTTTTTGGTTTGCATTTCAAAACTGGCTTTAAATACTCATCAGGGTGCCACGCAAAGAGGCTAGGGTGAGAGCCTGTTATATGTGAGTGGGGGCTGGGGTGCCCTGAGAGACAAGAGACCTACACATCAGGGCAGCTGGGGTGCCCCACCCCAAAACAGGGATAAGGGAAACAGAGTAGAGGCCCTCTCTGGAGGGTCCCAGGGCCAACGGGGAGCCAGCCCTCCCTTTGAGGTAGATCATCAAGGGGGCAACTGAGGAGGAGCTCCCACGGTGGCAGTGATAGGCGGTCACTTCCTCAGTGGTATTGCTGATAGCTGGGGTAACCTGGGGCCGGGGTACCCTCCTTAGGGGGCAGCTGGCTGGGGTCCTCCGGAAGTGGGGGTGCATTGCAGAACTGCTGGGCAGTGTAGTGAGTGAGGAGGATGCAGACACCCTCGATGAGGGCCCACAGGATGCCCCCCATTGTGGCCGAGCCCACCATGGCCAGTGGTTCACTGCAGGCAGCCAGCACAGCCCCGGTCAACACTCTACTGGTGATGGAGTTCAAAGGATCTTCCCTGCCCCACAGCCACACCAGACCACAGTCAACGGTGGAGAACAGGCCTCCCCCCAACACCGCAAAGCTACTTCCGGTTTGAGGGGCTCAGATTCTCACAGCTTTGACAATACCTCTTTATCAGTGCCGAATTTCCAAGGCGCCCGAGCGTACTCCTCCATGGCGCCAGCATCCAGCCTCGCAGTCTGGCTAAACTCCAGCTGGTCTCTCCCTCTTATAAAGACACCAGTCCTACTGAATTAGGGCTCACCCATATGATCTCATTTAACCTTAATTACCTCCTTAAAGGCGCCGTCTCCAAATACAGTCACATTAGGGGGTAGGGCTTCAATCTACGAATTTGGGAGGAGCACAGCTCAGTCCATAACAATTTTTGCATCCCCCTCTGATAGCTGCTCCATTTTTCTGCTTTCCTGTAAAAAGACTTCAAAAGTAACTGTGGTTTGCTTATCAATTTCCCCTCCTTGCATTCTCTCTTGGTTCAACCCAGTC